TATCTATCTATCTATCTATCTATCTATCTATCTATCTATCTATCTATACAGTAAATATACAAGATTGATTATTTACACTAAATACTTAGTAATTATCTCAAATTGTAACGTGATAGAAGCTTTTTGGGTTCCGACTAAAATTCATTGGTATAGCTAAAATAAGATGTTTAGGCTAATATAGTTTGTTTTTATTGTTAATGTTAAGCATATGACAATTCAGGCATGGCTATTTAGCAAAAGTAGGAAGAGCAATACGCACACAGGATTTATGGACACATGGTTGAGATCATCTTGAAATGTGCTTAGTTTTACCATTTGTGAAACAAGTGAATAGGAGAGATCTATCTATCTATTTATTTTATTAACATGCCTGACATGACTGGTTTTAAATGTATATATGTATAGACATGTATATATGTATATGCCTTTGTTTTGCTTATGGAGCCTGTAACAAAAATAATTTCCCTCTGGGATTATTAAAGTATTTCTGATTCTGATTCTGATAAATAAAAGGAGTGAAGGATCATTCAGCGACCTGAATTCCGAAAACAAAACTCACCTCTGATTTTACCTGTTGCTAGATGTCTAAATAAGCTGTAGATCTAAACAATGTGTTGTGTTCACACTTGTTGGGGCTCCTGGGTTATGGGGGTGACAGTCTCTGTTCCCCCTGTTGAAGCAGCAGCTCTGGGTGAGGATGGGGGCTTTGTCCGTGGTTGTGGTTGAACAAGGCTCCTGCTGCACTTGAAACCCCCCCTCCCCTCCCCCTGTTTTAGTGCTCCCTCCCCACTCACCCCTCTTAGTGTGAAGGCGTGTGGCCGGGCTTCCTGCAGCATCTCAGATCTGCTCCACGCTCTTGACTGACTGCAAATCATCACTGGGTGCGCGTCACGGCTCCCAGTGATCTCCTCTCCATCAGGAGCTGCGTCCAGACGTTCTGCGGGGAAACCTGAACTCCTGACAGCCCACCGGGCCGATGATGACCGGCGCTTTTTGGCTAAAATAAGATGCCCTGTTCGGCTTGCGCAAACCTCAGAGCGGCGCTCAGGCTGGGGGAAATGAAATGAGGCAAGAGGACATTCAGAGTGAAACTGGAGGCCAGCTCGGGTCAGCGTGGCTGTTGACACAACACTAGTTTATATCACACCAG